GAACGTGATCCTTTTCCTTCTAAAAAATATTTTTTTATTCCAAAAAAATTTGTGATATAAAATAAATTTTCTTTAAATATTTCTTACTGAATTGATGCTTTGAATCGGAATTAATAATTTGATTTTTATCAGAATTATTTTCTTGAATTCCTCCATTTTCCTCTTTTTCTTTATCATTCTGGCCCATTAAAGAAACAGAACGTCGTTTACGGTCTTGGTCAGAATGATCAAATGACGGATACTCCCCACCAATAGCATTAGCAAGATTTTTTGTTGAACTTGTAGGAAAGTAAGGATTCTTAGTTTTAGTAGCATCAGCAAAACTTAGATTTCCATCCAAAGTCGATGAACGTGATCCTTTTCCTTCTAAAATTTTTTTTTATTCCAAAATAATTTTTATTTAAAATAAATTTTTTTAAATAATTCTTACTGAATTGATGCTTTGAATCAAAATTAATAATTTGATTTTTATCAGGTTGAATTTTTCCAATCTTCTTCTCTTTTTCTTTATCATTCTGGCCCATTAAAGAAACGGAACGACGTTTACGGTCTTGGTCAGAATGATCAAATGACGGATACTCCCCACCAATAGCACTCCCTTCATCGCCAGAATCTTGTTGTGGATATGGTCGATAGTTGTTAATTGAATGCTGACGGTTAAATGACTGATTCTGTTGTAGATTGCTCGAAGAAGATGAAATATTAGGATAATTATTATCGGTATATGAAATAGCCTGTTGTGGTTGTTGGTGTGGATGATGTTGTTGGTGGTGTTGCTGTTGTTGGTGGTGTAGTTGTTGGTGTTGAAACCATGGTATTTGCTGTGGTTGTTGGTGTACTGGAGGATGTTCATGTGGATGTTCTTGTGGATGTACTGGATGGTGTATGTGTTGATTAAACTGATTAATTTGTTCATTGTTTCCACCGCCATTGTTCTGTCCGTGTCCTCCTCCAAATGGCCAATGGTTTCTTAACCAGTCAAACTCAGGAAAATTGCAGGTAATCGTAGATATGCGATCAGCAATAGGCCAAGCAATAAAAAAAAGATAGTTTAATCCAACAGCTAAATAAAAAATTATTATATTTAATTTTTCTCTTGTCTCATTGGAAAATATAGCTCTAACTATCCATCTTGCTAATTGTCTAATAATTATGTCGATATAAGTTGCTCGCTTTTTACGTAGATTATCTTCCGAGTTATACTGAAACATATTCGAATTTGCATTCTTCTAAAAATTTGATTAAATTTAATATATTAAAATTAATTTTAAAGTTTGTTTTACTTGACTTTACGAGTCCAATCGAAAAATAATTGGATTTTTCTTAGTGTTGCAAAGTTGGGGTATGGGTCCAAAACATTTCTTCATGTTTGTTACCTACGCCCACTGAGTCTGAGACCATTCCTTACTATATTCCTAAAAATTTCTGAAAGTTATAGCCAATTTTTAAAAATTTCAGAAAAACGATTATAACTTGAGAAATTTCGAGGGATAGGGCAAGGAATGGTCCCAAGTCCCAGTGGGCGTAGGTAACAAACATGAAGAAATGTTTTGGAATCATACCTCAACTTTGCAACACCAAGTAAAATCCAATTATTTTTGATTGGACTAATAAAGTCAAGTAGAACTTAAAAGTTTACTTTATCTAAATCTGTCCAGACCACATTGCTTAAATTGGTGTTAAACTTTGATAAATTATTTTTTAATTTATTCGAGAACATGACTTTCTTTGCTTCTTTTAGAGTAATATTTATCAATTCCAAAATTTCTTTAGAATTGTTTATATTTCCGACAGTAAACTCAAAATTCTCCTTTATTTTTTGCAACATTATTTTTCTATTATTTTCACTTTTCCCCCAATGAATTATCTCAATAAAATAATTTATTGAATTAAATAATTCTTTAAATTCATTTTCAATGTTTTCTGGATTTAATTTTTGATTATTCCAATTTTTGAGAATTTCTGTTAATTTAATCAAAAATTCTTTGGCATGTTTCCCTCCATAATAATAAATTGGAATAAAAATTTTTCCGTTTTCTCCTTCATTATTTTGATTAATAACTGTCGTTATTTCAAACATTAAATTAATAATTTCATTAAATTTGGGATTAAATAATTCCCAAATTTTTTTAATTTTTTTATTTTTACTTTTGTTAGCCTCCTCTTGAATTGAAATAATTAAACTTTTAAAAAACCCCAATTCTTCTTGATTAATTTGCACGGAATTATTTCCTTCGTAAATTGGAGTAGTTTGAAAAACATTTTGTTTAAATTTTAAATTGGGATCGGAATTATACGTTTTAGTTATGGTTAACAATTTTTTAACCTCCTCCTCTGTTAATTTATCAAGTTGTTCAAAACTTGACCACTCCAATTAATCTGATGATTAACACAAATCAACAGAATTAACTCTAATGTTAAAAACGGCGTTTTTAACATTAGAAAATTTTTAAATTTTTTATATTTTAAATGTTAAATTTTTCATAAAAAAATTTTTAATTTTGAATAAATGTATGTGTATGTGTGGACATTATGTAAATTGTATAAGTGTTGTGAAAGAGATGGGGAAGGGAGAGGGGGTTTACATTATAGTTACACGTACATAGTCTATTTGCGTCCGCGACAGTAAATAACATTGGAAAAATTAGATAGACAAAAATTGATAGACAAAACAAAGCAAGGATAAAGTACACAATGCTGTACTTTATCACAGGATGCAAAACAATTTTTTGCCACAATCAGACGATTTCAAAAGAGTGAGCGCCGGGCGAGCGCTATGTGTATTTAAATTATTTTCTTGACTAACGCAAAAAACATTTCAACAATTCTAGAAGTTTTCAAAATCCTTTGTGAAGGAACCTTTGTGTATTATATTATAATCCTTTGTGTATTATAATTTTATTTAATATAAATTACCCTTAATTTTAAATTTAAATCATATTAATTAAATTTAAATATTTAATTCAATTAAAAATTTAAAAAAATGTCAAATAAAATACTCCTTTCTAAATATTATCTTAATTTTATTAGTAACACAAATTCTAGCTAAAAATATTCCAAAAAATAATTATCCATCAAACCCAAGTTACCCAAAACCTGCCCCACAAGTTTGTGATCCTTATTATGAAATGCCACAAGAATATTTAAATAAAAATTATCTTTATATTCCTCCACTTTATAGAAAAGGGGAAACTGGTGTTACAATGAATGAAACAACTCCTGGTGTTATTAAAAATTTTTTGGGTAAAACATATGATGGCGATATTGTTTTCCACAACTTAACTGGAGGTGAAAGTTATGGAGGTGAATGTGGTCTTGGAATTAAATATGTACATAAATTATTTTAAAATTAAATTTGACCTCAAATTAAAATATTAGAGCGAGTCTTAGGTTTAATTTAAACCTCAGATCAGCACATAAACATCCATATGGGTTGAATATCTAAGCCTCCCAGAGGCACGACCCCGATTACTTTGAAAAAATTTTTTTATTTTTATGGGGAATTTTTTAAAATTAATTTTTAACTTAAATCAGGACTTTAGTGAGAGTATCTTGAACAGTGAACATTTAAAATGCCTTCCCCTACTCATTTATTTTTTAAATAAATTTAATAATTATTTTTTTAGAGTCATTCAATGCTGGTGTTAGTCGACATTTGTGGTCGCCAGATAAAAAATGGGTACTCTCTAAATTACGCGATATCCCTGGAAAAGACCATTATATTCGTTATGATCAACTATGCTTTAATAAATGTGTTAAACTTGAACATAAAGAAAAAACGTAAAATTATATTTTACTTAATATTGAATAATTAAATTTAAAAAATTATTTTTAAAGTCTTATAATGCCAATTATGGATGAAACTGATTATTTGGAACTTAATCGAGTTGATATTTCCTGTCCAGCATTTAATTGGTTAGAATGTAATTTTATTGAAAGATGCACTGCTAAAATTACTTATATGGAATGCCCTTGAACTAACAACTAAAAATTAAGAAAAAAAATAATAATTAAAAATTGTGATTTAAATTTTATGGGATATTTAATTAAAATAAAATATATACAAACATTGGAACTTATATGGTTTGGGTACTCTTTTTTTAGCCACGCCCTTTTTTCCTTTTCGATCATTATTCTTTTACTCTTTTTCCCTCTCAACCATCAATCAATTGAGTTGAGGTCAATTTTTTGTTTAAAATAAAGAGAGAAATAGAGCTGACTCGGATGACTCATAGAGCTGGGCTGAGACGTATGGCACTAAACTCGGTCCGTGAGATCTCTGAGCTGAATTACTGGGGTCCAAAAATTTCTAAAAAGAGGTAAAACGGTCGGCATTTTGTAAAAAATATGATTTTAAACATGCAAAAACTGGAAAACACAATAAAATACGGGACCATTAGTTCCAAAACGTAGAACCGGGATACCTATTGGCATTTAAATAATTGAAATAGATAAAAATAAGAATATTGATTCAAATGTTAATTCAATTTTGGTGAAATTGGAAAGGAAAATTAATCTTTTCATTGTTAATGTCTCTCACTGAAAATGCCACAGGAAAAGTTAAGTAAAATCGAGGAAGAAAGAAAGGCTGACCATTCTGTCCATATTAAGGTTGATTGATGAAGGAAAAGGAAAAAAGGGCGTGGCTAAAAAAGAGTACCCAAACCATATAAGTTCCCAAACATTTTCTATGGAATAAATTACATGTATTTGTATTCTATAATAATAAAAGCTGATAACTCTATCAAAAATTTGGGGAAAACTCTATCAAAAAAAGAAATGAATTTCCGGATAGCCGGTGTTCTTCCGGTTCCGGATACACGGAACCGCCAACCTTAGTTTGAGCCACAACATTCGGTCAATCCAACAAAAATCAATCCAAATTTTTTTTCTTTATTTTTTATTTAAATTTATATATTTACGTGTAAAGTGTCACATTGAAAAACTCTATCAAATCTTAACAAATTTATCAGAATTTTATTTTCCTTCAAAAAAGAATTTCATTTCTGAGGAGAAGTAGCAGTGGACGTCGTATTAACAGTTGATGGCTCCTCCTTCGTTCCTTGCCCCCCTTCATCTTTCTTTGCGTCACCGACAACCTCCTTCTTCTCATCCTCTCCCTTGGTGGTGGTATTAGTGGCGCTCTTGGATTTGTCTGCAACTGGATGACGATAGTAGCGACGATGGAAACGCTTCTTGTTGGAACGCTAAAATTTAAATTTGAATTTTTATGAAAGGAACAAAAGGAAAAATTGGGAAAGGGAAACTCAACTCAATACAAATTCTATCCAACAGAAAGACACAAGTATACCCCCCCCCCTCGAAAATGGAAAAAAGGAAAAAATTTGGGGACTCCCTCTCCTGAAAAATCCTAATTACGGGCCTGCAAAAGGGGGAATTTTGAACCTTAGAGGCGTCATTTTATTTCCTTATTTTCCCTTGCTTAATTGTGAGACAAACAAATCAATCAAGATTCATTCTGAACAGAGTACCAAAACTTTCATTCTTAAGTAATTATAGAGTAGATGAGCAAATCCAAATTTCTTAATGATAACTAGGCTCAAAATAATGGACTTTATGGAAAAAGAGCATGTTACAAATTCGGGAAACGTACAGCCAAATTAGTCCCTTTTGATTGATTTAGAAAATTTCCACAGATAAAACAAGGAAAAATATGGAAGAAATAAAAATTAAACCCCCTAAAGCTTAAAACTACCTAACAGTCCCCAGAACCCCAGTGAACTACACAAAGTAAAAATTATAAAAAATTAAACCGTTTTTCCTTCAGTAGTCTTTTCATCATGAACGACCGCCTTTCCTTCACCTTCAATAGCCTTTTGACGGTTCCCATTCTTCTCACCACCAGCATCCACCTTCTTCCCCATATTGCTATTTTGTTTGTGCTCTACAGTGTTGTTGTGGCGTTGTCCAGCAGGATAACGAACAGGCAACATTGGTGGTTGGCGGAAACGCGGATATGTATGGTAGAAAGTACCTTTATACATATAACCAATAGTCTTTCCAACACGAACACCACCTGGGCCAGAAACGCAAACAGCTTCAGGGCCTTTCAGTCCCTCAATTATATCAAACTCCACCTAAAATCGGAAGAAAAATAAAAATATTTGTGAAGTTAAAGTAAACCTGTTGATTCTCAATCAGAGCAAGAGGCACATTAACTGTACGAAGAATGGCGGAGGCGTGAACAAAGCAGTCCTTTTCCGAACCATCAACACGAATAAACCCATACCCTTAAATTGTGAGAGTTAAGAAACATAAACTAGATTGAGAAGGTAAACGAGGACCTTTGAGAAAATTTGTTTAATCGGGAATAAAACAGAGTCAGTGGATTTGTTTGTACCAAGATTCCGTCTTGGTAAAAGGAGTTAAGAAATTTTAAAAACTCTAGAAGCTTATGAGTCCGAAAGACATTTTTAAACAAGAAACTCGGACACGGAACCTAAATAGGCGTATACAAGCTCCGAAACATATACGGAAAAGGATCCCAACTAGGACTCAGAAAATAGATTGGAAATTGAGCTGACCAAATTCCCCAGACCGCTGACCTGGGTCGTGCTCTTATGACGGAAGTCCAGAAAAATAATCAAGTTAAAGTAGGACCAGGAACTAAGCAACGGAATCCAGCCCAATCTCTCTTCTCGATACTCATGCAAAACGTAAACAAACGAACCTTTGGCTACACTGAACCATTTAACAATTCCATGTTGAGCACGCCCAATAACAATCGGACCACGCAGTTGTCGAACACGCTTGTCAAAACTCTCGCCATTCATCGAGTCAGAGGAAAGTTTCTTGTCCATTTTCTCCGTTACTTCATCCACTCGTTTTTCCAAATTAAGTTCGCCAACTCGCTTAGCCAGATCAGTTTCAACAGTCATTGTTTTTAACGTCAATAAAGTTTTATGAAAATACTGAAAAAAATAAAGAGAAAAAGTAAAGGCTCTTGACCAGTTTACGCACAATTCTATATTGGGGTGAATGACTTAAAGAAAATAAACTAGAACCAAAATTAAATCGAAAATGCGCAAGTAAATGAATAAACTTCGTTAATAAAGAACAAAAATGTTACAAAAAAATTTTAGATCAAATGATTTATTGAACGAGAAAAGTTTTCATAACATCTAAAATCATTTGGTCACATTGAAGAAATTATTGCATTTCGTCAACAAGGATTGTTTGGGCGCTATTTTTTATTTTGAATTTGTGTGCATTTAGAGTCTAATGATTTTACTTCTTACTTTTACTTTTACCGATTCTAGAAAAATTTTTTTTCATTTTTTTTTCAATTTTTAATTTAATTAGGGCACAAAATGGCACATAGATATCAATTTTACAATAACTTTCAACAATCTCCACAGCCTCTCTACAAACAACAAAGCTTCCGAATGCAGCCTGATCATCTTATTCGAACTGTTACGACATCAAAAATTTTGCAGGAACAGCGAGCGGCTGAGGAAAAGGCTAAAGCAGCAATGCCTCCTTATGGGTTTTTTTTTAATTTTTTCTTTCTTGATTCTCTTACATTTTTCCTTCATGACAATGAATTTTATGGGGTTTAGAGCTAATCATCGATGGGGCTGGTTGAGAAAAAAGTCGGGTCGGTTTCGATCGGATCTTCATATTTTTTTCGGATCGGGTTTCGGGTCGGAAAAAGTCCGGGTTTCGGGTAACCCGTTCCATCCATGGTCCCGCGATATACATTTATATGACCAGCAAAATCGTCTTGCTGGATCCAACATGCGTAGATGGATGTGATGGGAGTGAAACCAGGACTATTTTCGAGACTATTTCTGAGACCCCAACCTGACATTTTTCCAAACCCGTCCCTTTTTTATGAGAGAGTAATTGTTTTCACTAAAACTAAAGGACTTTGCTAACTCCTCCGGCTTTTATCCAGCTAAAATTTGAAATTAAAAAGCCGTCTTGGTTTACTGTTTATGTGAGCAGTAGAGATCGAGCTGGGTCTGGACCAAGGCCTGGGTTTTCCTGTAGCCCGAGCCCAGGCCTTTTTTGAACTTCCTTGGGTTTTCCTGGACCACAAGCCCAGGATGCGGGCTGGGTCAATAAATCAAACGCAGGAACAGGCCCAGGCTTTTCAAAAATCTAGACTTCTAGTGAGCGGGATCTTTTAAAACCTCGGGGATCCTTCCCCTTTTTTGATTAATTTAAATTTATTTTTTAGAAGTGTTCGTATGCGTCCTGAGATTTTAATTCAAGCGGTTACAGAATCAAAATTGGCTCGAAAGCGTGCTGTAACTGCTGCCAAAATTGAAGCGAAAAGAGCTGTTGAATCGGAAAAATTGATGGTGCGTAGGGCTATTACTCCACCAGATTTTGGCTCATTAAATGATAATTCGATGTTGAAACTTGCTGATTTTGTGCCGGTTTGTTTTCCTTTAATTTTTGATTTTCCTTTTAAAATAATTCTGAAATGTTGAACAATAAGAAAACATTAGCAATTTTTGGTTCTTTGAATATTCAAAACTGGGTGTGCTCACGGGTACAAATAATATCCTCATACCGGATATCTGGGCAACTATAAATATGAAGGCCATATCCGTAACCAAGCACGTAGCTAATAGAGATCAAGCTGGGTCGTGACCAAAGGCCTGGGTTTTCCTGTACCCAGAGTCCAGGCCCAGGAATTTTTTAACCTTTCCTGCTTTCTCCTGGATTACTGGCCCAGGATCCGGTCCAGGTCAATAAATCAAACCCAGGAACAGACCCAGAAACTTTTCAAAAATCTCGATCTCTAGTAGCTAAGGGAAAAAGGTCCCAAAGTCCTTAACCTTCTTACAACTTGTGAATCACCAATAAATTTCTTTTTATCTTTGTAGGGAGTACCGCCTAGCTATGAAAAAGAATTTAGCTATAGAGAGTTGACTATGCCTATTCCGTTGCCATCTGATGGGCTTTATTCAAAGGAGCAAATTCTGATAATTGGAGCACAGGTTTGAATTTTAGAAATAAATTTTTTTAGAAAATTTTCAAAATTTTTAAAGGTTGTTATTAATGCACAGAAAGCTGGAGCTTAATTTGGAAGTGAATGACCTTCAACACAAGAAAGAAAATTACTATATGATAATTATAAAGGGTATATTTATATAAAGGGTAATAAATTTTGTTAGAAAAGTGTGTAGTCGAACCTCAGAAAGATAACCCTACGGGCTAAAATTTGTATTTTGTAAGGGGAATAAATTGATTGAAATGCCCCCCCCTCCCCACCGAAATGGGGAAAAGGAGAAGAAAATCGAGGCGAAAAAACAAAATTTCTGGTTGCGGCGCTAGAAATCAAAATTTTTGATTCCTCTTCTGCCCTCCCCCCCCCCTCCCCTCTAATTCTTTCTGACAAGGTTCCATCGTTCCTATTGAGAAGTGATGCGGGTTTCTTGCCAAAATAACTTTGGGCCGAGTTATAGCCATTCAAATTTGGACCACTAGTCTGGAGTGAGTATGATTTGGGTTATTTTATAATGAGCTTTGACTGTAATATTATATTTTATGTTTCTCTCTCTTTTACTATTTAAAATTTACTCTTCACCAAAAAATGGATATTATATTTTCTGTTAAATGTTTAAATAAAAATATTTTTTTCTTTTAATTTTTTAATTAAATAATGCGATTTTGACAATGTGTTGTTTGTCAAAATAAGCCAAGTAAAAGTTGATGAAACGCTAGTGCAAAACACAAAAATAAATTTAAAACAAAATCTAACAAGGGAAACATTTCGAACTGTGACCAAAAATTTTTAAATAAAATACTGTCGTGTAGAGCATGTCTGATTTTCTTGTTTGTCTATTTGCAACGTCTTGCATCAATTATCTACTTAACTTGGAACTGTCAGACTTGCAACGTCTATTTAAAAGGACTATTAATAGCCAATTTTTCAACGGGTTTAATATAGGGTTGTACCCCGAACGCTCGGGGGCGGGTATGTCGGGGTACGGGGTTTTCCAATTGTTTCGGGGCGGGGTTCGGGTCGGGGTACGGGGGTTTAGTGGAAAAATTTTTAGAGAAAAAAATGCTCAAAAATAATTAGAAATCGATATATTTTCGTTGATTTATTCAAAAATTAAGTAGGATTTGAAGAAATTAGAGGGGATTTGAAGGGATTAAAGTGTAAAACTTGGGATATAAGTGGATCTGGAGGGATTAAGTGGGATTTTTAGGGATTAAATGGTCTTCATTAATTTCTCCAAAAAATGACATTTTTTAGGGGTATAGAACCCCGATAACCCCGAAACTTTTTTGGCCGGGGAACGGGGTTTTCACTTTTTTTCGGGGCGGGGTTCGGGTCGGGGAGAATCGTGAAAAATCGTTCGGGAACGGGGTCGGGGTACAACTCTAGTTTAATAAAGGCTTTTGTTTTAGATGAATTTTTAGGGGAATTTTTCACAAGAATTTCAAAACCTCCAATCTGTCTCACACATTTAAATGGGGAGGATTTTGAAGAAAATTTACAAAAATTTTTACAATTGCTGTAATATTTCTGAAAATCTTGGGTACAATCGTTCTTGGGTACAATTTTTTCTTGGGTACAATCGTTCCACCAATAATGTTGAAAAAAAATCCCAAAAAGCAAATCCACAATCAACGTTTGGAATGGCATGCTCGCAAGTGCTATCTTAACACTGTGACCAAGCGGCGGGTTTTGTCTGCTCCCTTTCGGGCCTGAACCGTTGCCCCGCTCTTTAAACAACCAGGAGCACAAACGTTCCCGTTAGCGCCCCTTGTTGACTTGGCCCTTGCTCTAGACACTCGCTCAGCGCACACCCGTCAATCTGGTGCTTTTGCCTCCTAGAAACTGGACTACAAGCGCCCGCCACGACGCTCGGCGAAAGTGAATTTAAAAATAAAGCTTATA